CCCCCCCCCCCCCCCCTCTTGACCCTACAGGACCGGAAAGCTAACTTGTATACATTCAACATTTTCAGGCCCAATGCCTTACGCTGTTTTTGTGACCGCTGCACATCTGCCCACAGAAGGTGGCAAGATCCGTTCGTTGCTGTTGATTGTAATGGAGGAATCTATCAAGTTTGTGTGAGAAGATGCACTAGTCCGTTTTCCACGTCGTGTGCCGTTTGGCAAGGCCCTGATTCCTGGAAGAATACGTTCCCTGCTCTTTGATCCCCTCAGCATGAAGAAGGTTTGGGTGTTATATCAACAACCAGCAGGAGTGAGAAATCACTGCCGTTTCTTGGCGTGAGCACTTCAAACTACTACTATATCCACAACCTGACGCATCGATCCCAGATTGCATTTCTCTTATTAGCTCTACAGAACGATCACGGTGGGAGATGGAAAATTCATTAAACCACCACTGACCCCGACATCAAAAAATTGTTGTAGAACGCATCCTCCCCAATGCTGCAAGGGACGGCCCAGCCTCAGTGCAGCTCTGGGGGGAGAAGGGTGGAGTGACCCGGTGTCCGGAGAAGGGTGGAGAGACCCGGTGTCCCGCCACCAGCCGTCACAGAGCCCCATAGCAGCCAGAAGAGCCAAGTCTCCTGATGTTCGTAAGGGAGGGGACCACCACCTGAAGGGAGGCACAGGGATTGGTCCAGTTGGCATGGTCACTGATGCTACCGGCTGTCCCCTACCCCTAGCCGGTATTGCCCACCTGCACGTCGGGAGCAGGCCCCACATGTTCTCTTGAGACGCTGGTTGTCCGCCACTTGACATGTGAAAGAGAGGAAATAAAAAAGGAAAAAAGAGATAGGCCCGTAGCGGGTATCAGTGCACTACTCTCGAAATGTGCAAAACGAGAGTGAAGCTTCCACTAGAACATGGAAAGATACACCACCACGATTTTGTCTTTTGTACATGTCATGAGTAGTGGAGCAAGGCCCTGTGTCCCGTATAATGGATCTTCCCCATCAAGTGGAAAGATACACCGCCATTTTTTTTTGTTTCTTTTGTGCATGTGGAGAGTACTGGGGCAAGGCAGCGGGTTGTGTGAGACCGTGGGCCTCCCTCCACTACTCTCGACATTCAAAAAAGGCAAGGTATCTTTCCATGTTCTAGAGAAGGATCCTGTCTCATTTTGCACATTCGTAGAGCAGTGGAGCAATGCCCAAAGTGTCAGGACAGCACATACTATTTGCATCCCCTACTTTCTCACAGGCGCCATTTTCCATTTCCCCTGTCAGACAGGTATGGCACTCCTTTTCTTTTTTTTTCCCCTTCTTTTGGGATAGCAGAGGCCCCTGTCTCTAACTGCATCGCTCAATCTTCCTGTACCTACCTACGCGTGATAGTGTGCGGCCGACTATCGATGCCCTCAGGCCACACACTATCTGAAGCAAAGCGAACTGTCCAGTTGGGACACAAGCAAAATAGGCTTGGTGGCAAGGTCTGGGGGAGAAAAAAAAAAAAAAAAAACATTACGTAGGCCCTCAAAATGGCAAAAATCGCCAAATGAACGCCCAGATCGAGTGCTCGTAAGCAGAGGGCCCTATCTGGCCGCTCATTTTGCGATTTTGAGATTTTGAGGGCCTACGTAGTGTGAGCGTGCCCTAAGAAACTGAAAAGCAATCTCCTGAAATCCAGGAAATCCAATGAACCTAAAAACACACCCCAAAAAGCAATCAATGCCACTGCTGTCTCAGGTCCTCCGGGGCCAAGTCCCACTAGCAGGGTTGAGTTTCCTCAACGCCTGAATCTGGACGTGCTTGTGGAGATGTGCTGTTGAGGAAACTCGACAGGATTTCTGCACATTGGCCACAAACATGTTCACATTCAGGCGTTGAGGAAACTCAACGCTGCTAGTGGGGACTTGGCCCCCGGCCATAACAGGAGGAAGCATAGAGCGAGTTCTCATTGTGAGGGGCACTGCACCTAGCCCAATTTCCAGTAAGTAATATAAAACAAAAGGTACAAATAATGAAAAAAAAAAAAACACCTCAAACTTGCTCAAGGCTTTTTGGTATCCACACACACACACACACACACACACACACAAGCAGACCCCAAGACCTGAGAAGATTAAAACATAAGTGAAATTTGAAAACCTGATCTGAGAGAGCAAACAAAACGTAATGTTTATTTTACCTCGATATCTTTCCATTGATCCATTCGACAATCCCATCTGATGTTCTCCGTGGAGGATCCACTCTCTCAAAACCCTTTGGCTGGTCTTTCATGTTCTCTGGGCCCACGCCCTGAAGTAGGGCCACAGCAGGTCCAAAATACATAGTCGGGTACATCTTTATCAGAAAGCGTTTACACAGACCGGCCTGCACAAAGACAACCACAAAAAGACTGCTTCAGCATAAATTGGCCAGCTCAACAACAAGTAGAGCGGAAGTGGTCGATACACGATTACCATGTGTCACCACAGCTGTCGACTCTTTTGGAGCGGCGAAGGCAAAGACACAGCAAACAGTGGGAAGTAAAGCAAACAAGAATCGAGCGAAGAGAGAGAACACCAGCGGGGCTTACGAATACGCCAGGGCAGACAGAGTAGACGAGGAAAGCCCCCAGAATCGAAGTACGAAACTACTAGAAGACTGCAAAGTTTTTTTAAATGCTCTATAGCTCTTTTGTCAGAGCTCAGGTAACTATTCCTTTTTTTTTTTTCCCTTTTTTTCTGGGTGGCTTATTAGCTTATGCTCACGGAACCATTCCATTCCTTGTACTCCTTGTTGCTGTAAAAGGAGAAAAAAAAAACTCCTTGTTGCTGTTAAAGAAGAAAAAAAACTCCTTGTTGCTGTAAAAGGAGAAAAAAAACTCCTTGTTGCTGTAGAAGGAGAAAAACACTAAGTGTTGCATGGGGGATGGAGCTTAGTTTATGCTCAGAGAACCATTCCTTGTCGCTGTAAAAGGAGGAAAAAAAAAAACAAAGTGATATGTGGGCGTCCGTCATAAGCCTCCTGAGATTTATAAAGTAAAAGGAGAAAAACCTACCTGCTAGCCCGAACATCATGCACGGCATTGCATGCATGCATACATCCGTTGATCGACAAATTAACGAACGGTGTGGGGATGCTGGGCAGCTCACCATGGGGGGCAATCGAAGTTTGCAGTTTGGTATTGACGACAGGCAAGTTTTTTTTTAACATGGGCGTGGGGGCCATCAAAGTTTCCTCAGATTGACATGAACGACGGGGGGGCAAGGTTTTCTTTTTTTTCTTTTGTTTGACTACTGACCCCAGGTAACTATTTCGTTCATCGAGGTCCTCTGTAGATTCGAACTCAGGTCAGTTTTTGAATAATTCATGGTTGATGTCCTGCTGTCCTGAGAAGGAAGAGGGAGAGAGAGAGAGAGAGGAGAAGGAGAGAAGGAAGAGGGAGGAAAGGCAGAGCCTTTCTTCCTGATACCTGGATGGCCGCGCTGTCCTGGCTGATGTCCTGCTGAGGCCGAGCCTGGCGATGCAGCTATGGCGCTGCAGTGCTGGGCGCTGGGCTGCGGACTGAGCCAGAGGGCCGGCGCTACCCGATGCGGCTGCGCTACTCCTCCTATCTGCTGCACTAGTTCTCCCTGCTGCTCCGCTATGCCAACCGAAAGTGCGGTACTAACCTGTAGACTAACCTCCCTACTGAGGCTGGTACCCAGCTGATATAGTGCTGGGCCGGCCTCAGAACTACTGGTCCCTTCGGGTCTGGACCGTTGATCAGCCCAACGGTTCAGATCCAATTCCGAAATCTGAAAAGTGGCGCCTAAACTGCGCCGCCGGCCGGTCCTACCGATGGACCGGTACCTGGCCTAACCCAACTAGCCGTTGGGTCCGGTGGGGTCTAGACTAGGCTTAACAGACTCTAATCTGAACCGACGGTTCCTAGGCCTACCTGGACCTGGCTGGGACTGTCGTGACCTGGTACCTAGGCCTAACCCATGCCTACTACAGAACCGGGCCCTAACTGGGGCCCGTGTGGTATCAGTATGCCACAATAGTCTAAAAGTCCCAGGTGATCATCCGTAAGTCCTTCGGGGACATCTATCAAAAAAAGAAAGAAAAAGAAAAATTCAAAGGCTAATTCTTTTAAGCCCAAAAAACAATTCAATTACCTGTCGAATCTGGACAGGACGGCTTTTCAGACCTTTTTTATTGTCCTTATAGCAGGGTACTCACGCCGACATTCGGCGGCCCCGGACTCGTCGGCTGGTCGGGGCTGCCGACCAGCCGACGGTAGGCACCCCGCAAAATTATATATATATCGTCACAAACAGAACTGCCCGGTAAACCGTAGGCTGAGAGAGAGAAGAGGACAACAAACGAGGGGCTGTGACAAACTGTTTCGTCGGAGTATATATATATATATATATATATATATATATATATAT